CTCCACGTTCTGCTTGTAAACAGGAAGGCACAAAGTACTAATGGTGACCGTACAGGAGCGGCGTTTTCACGATTGGGGTGCGCCTGGCAGCCACCGGTTCTCCAACGTGTCCAGTAACACACGGGCAGGGTGTGAGTGCGGAAGGAGGGGGATCTGCTCTGAGATGAACTTGTCCCAAGACACCCGCTAAGCTAGCATCCATGGGCCCCTCTGCCCTGCCTTCTACCACGGTGGGTTTTCATCAGCACCATCATCTGCACCCGAGGTGGGCAAACTCGTTAGTCCACAGAGCCAAATATCGGCAGTACAGCGAATGAAATTGCTTTGGAGATCTACATTTTTTTTAACTTCTTCTAACACCACTTCAACATAGACTCGCCCAGGCCGGGGTACTTTGTGGAAGAGCCATACTTAAGGGGCCAAAGAGCCGCATGTGGCTTGTGAGCTGCAGTTGGCTGACCACTGATCTACACTAATAAAAGAGTAACGTGCTAATTGGCTGTACCTTTGTGACGCCCATCAGCCAAACAGGAGCGTGTATGCAAATTAACCCAACAAAGATGGCAGGTTAATTTGCATACACAGGCGCAAGCACCCAGGGGCACCACCCTACCACTCAGGGCCTCTGGGCACCATGGGAAGGCAGAAAGGCAGCTCCAGCCAGAGTGAAGGCGGTGCTGGCAGCAGGGGGAAGGCAGGCCCATTCTTGCACAAATCTTAGTGCATTGGGCCTCTCGCCAGAAATAATCAGAAAGCAGGACACCTGGGTCCTAAGTCCAGCTCTGCAGCTGGCGATCTAAAGAGCTGAAAGGCCTACCCTCCCTCTGAGCTACAATGGGCTTATGGGGAAATGCGGGCTTGGCGATAAGTGCTTACAAATGAGCCTCACTTACACAGGTAAACGCAGGAAAATACCACGGGATGAAAAGGGAATGCTTTTCACCTGAGGGGAGCCGGGAAAATGAAAAGGGCTATAACGTGAAATGGAGGCGAGGATGAGAGAAGAGCGGACATGCTTCAGCCCTAGTAAGAGGAAGCCGACAAAAACCGCCAAGGAAAACCCCACCAGACTGCATGCCTGCTGGCCCAGGAACTCTGCTCTGGAACTCAACCCCCCAGGAAAACACCCTCCAGAAAAAGCAAAGCCCCCTACACCAAGGAGGCTGCACAGCAGCATGACAGCAAGAGAGGGTGCCGCACGCAACCTGCAGTGACGCGGGGCCTGGGGGTGCTGACCACAGGGAACATAGGACACCACGGCCCACGTCTACATGCTGAGCGGGTTCCAGAGGGTGGGCACCGCCGACAGCACAGAACAGGAGGCGGAGAGGTTCCTGGCCTGTTGCCCTCGCCCTCCTTGGGCTTCTACAGAGAAGATGCTGAGGCAGCCGGCAGGGCGCATGGAGGGTCAGAGCAGGTCACTGGTCCAGCCTGTCCTCAAAGTCATTCCTTCGGCAAAACATGACTCGGGGCGGGGCAGGGAAGGGGGTGCTCCTGAGCCGGCGGTGGGCAGCCAGAGGTCCCAGACCGCTGGTGGCCCGTGAGGTCCGAACGGCTGGCGACCGCGGGCTTGAGGCGGCCTTGGGGCTTTGACACCTCTTCTCCAGGCTTTTCTAACACCACGGATACCCCTACGTCTCCATCTAAAGCTGACGGTGTTCAGGCACCTTCTCAGAGGTTGTTACTGGACTGACTGTAGAACAGCCCGCATCCCTGGCATCTATGGACAGAAATGTCACCTGCCCTACAAGGTCCAGGGCGTCGGGGAAGTGCCCTCTGAAAGCACACCTTACGTATCGCTGGACCACCCTCCTCCCCCGCGTCATCAATGGGAAATTAAAGGGAAAGTCCACATTTATAGGTTACAACGTCAACAACAGCTATAGGTTACAACGTCAACAGCTATGGGTTACAACGTCAACAACAGCTATAGGTTACAACGTCAACAGCTATAGGTTACAACGTCAACAACAGCTATAGGTTACAACTTCAGCAACAGCTATAGGTTACAACTTCAACAACAGCTATAGGTTACAACTTCAACAACAGCTATAGGTTACAACTTCAACAACAGCTATAGGTTACAACTTCAACAACAGCTATATGTTACAACTTCAATAGCTATAGGTTACAATTTCAACAATAGTTATAGGTTATAGCTTCAACAACAGCTATAGGTTACAACTTCAACAACAGCTATAGGTTACAACTTCAACACAGCTATAGGTTACAATTTCAACAACAGCTATAGGTTAACACTTCAACTATAGTTATAACTTCAACAGCAGCTATAGGTTATAACTTCAACAACAGCTCTAGGTTATAACTTCAACAATAGTTATAGGTTACAACTTCAACAACAGTTATAGGTTATAACTTCAACAACAGCTATAGATTACAACTTCAATAATAGCTATAGGTTATAGCTTCAATAATAGTTATAGGTTATAGCTTCAACAACAGCTATAGGTTACAACTTCAACCACAGTTATAGGTTATAACGCAATCTAACTCTTGACTCTCAAGTCGACCTTCATAGGGTAGGACTTGCTTGGGGGACTGCTGCCTGTGTCTGAGGTACAATGACTTCTCTCCTCAAACACTGTGGGTCCCCAAACCATGGCGAAGTGCTCCCTCTGGCTGGCCGAGCAGAGACCCCTTGCAGCCTCAGGGTGTAAAGCAAGGAGACTTCCGAGGCCACGAGTTCACGCACAGGATCATGGCATGGAACTTGGGTCCAGGGTAAGAGGCGCCTCTGGGCGACCATCCCACTGAAAATCAACCCTGAGCCACAAAGGGCAAAAACCTAGGATTCCTCTAAGGAATGGTTCTCAGGAAGAAACTCAGCTGTGACAACCCTCTGGTAAAAAGGAACGTTGACGTATCACAGAAGTCTGTCTTCTTCCTCCTGAAAGGAATTTTCCTAAGGATCAGTATTTTGAAGTTTATGTTTTAAGCTTTGACATGCTGGTATCCTTTAACATATTCCATGAATGAAACAGAAAGAAAATTAATAATGTGTCATGAAAGTTTTTTTTTTTTTTTAAGCTAAAAAATAAATAAATAAAAATGGTAAGAACAGGACCCCGGGATTTTAAAAAATTCTACCAGAGACGACCACACCCCCTTCTCTTGGTGACAGCCACTGCACAGAGTCCAAAGCATTCCCACTCTTCCGCATCTGGAACTCAAGGAAAAGTCCCAGTGTGCAGATTACACAGAAAAGCCACTGGCAGGCAGCTACCCCGGACCTCTGCCCTCACCAGCATTCTCAGGCAATTGGAAAACAGGCCTTCATTTCCGAACCTGGGTAACAGGCCCGGGCGTTTCATCTCAAATCAACGGCTTCTACCCACAGACCCTATGTATATTTGCAACCCATAAATTCAAGCTCTTAGGAAAGAGAGGAGGAGGAATCACTCATTTAAAAATGAATCTAAAAAAATAAATCACCAAAATGAATCTAAAAAAATAAATCACCCCCTTCCACTGACATTTTTTATCCACCGGACTGATTCTATAAAACCAAATCAATTATATTTTTTCAGTATTCAAGTAATATTTGCAGGCCCCAGGCGTCCTCGGAGGCCACCCAACAGTTTCAGGGATTTAAAGGAAATGACGCATGTGCAGGAAAGCTCCAGCACTCACATTCAGCTCAGACAAGTCTACTCACTTTGACGGGAATGAAGCCTCTGTCTGGTTAACCATTACCCATCAGAGGAGATAGCGATTCAATATTGAAACAGGCTGATCTAATATTTACTCATTAAAATGCCATGTAATGAGGCAGGGATGAGAAGATGTCTTTTAAAAAAATCAGCTTCAGAAAGATCACACAGGTGTGAACAAATCACAATTAGAGTGTGAGCAGCTAAGAGGCCCTTAACATTTCCTAGTTCCCTGTCCTGGCATTCTTAAGTCCTGCCCCACTCACGTTCCTCAGGCTGAGACACCTCCCCCGGGGCTGTGGCAGAGTGAGTCCTGTGCAAATTCATTAGTTGAGGCTGCATAGATTTCTCAAAACCAGCTCTCCAAAACAGCCTCAGAGAGAGGCACGGTGTGTGGGGAATTAGAAGTTAAACACAACTGACTAATCAATTCTTCTGGCCTTCCCATTTCAGTGATGTTTTGTGCAGGGATAAGTAAGCCCGTGGAAATTCAACCAACCAATCTTTATCTGATTCCAATTAGAGGTGGGGCGGGGGAGGGTCAGTTTTGCTTTGGACGTTCACGTTTTCTTTCAGATTTTATCCACATGGCACGCATTTTCCTACGATAACTGTACATGAACTTGACCCATGTGTAAGCGGGAGAGGAGTCTGCATTTGACCAAATGAGCTACCGAGTGGCGTCTACAAACAACGTCATGGCCAAAGCACGCCTTCCACGCCTCCGCCTCAGACATGACCTGCTGACGCCGGTCGTCATAACCGAGCTAAATAGTCAAGTTCTGCATCTTTTACCAAAGACAGTATCTCAGTAATTTCTTTAATTCAAAATGGTAAGTGGATTGTAGCTGTAAATAACATTTAAAACCATTTAGAATCAGATGGTTAAGCATTCTTCTTCAAAATAAGTAAAATATGTGCAGAAAACGTAGAAATTACATGGAAAAGACCAAGAGCCTTCCAGCACCCCCTGAGGGGCCCGGGAGCACTCCTCTGCCTGCACACGAGGTCCCCACCCTGTCCTGGGCCAGTGGTCGGCAAACTCATAGTCCACAGAGCCTAACACCCACAGTACAATGATTGAAATCTCTTTGGAGAGCCATATTTTTTTAACTTAAATTTCTTCTAGCGCCACTTCTTCAACATAGACCCGCCCAGGCCGTGGCATTCTGTGGAAGAGCCACACTCAAGGGGCCAAAGAGCCGCATGTGGCTCGGGAGCCACGGTTTGCCGACCACTGTCCTGGGTGACGAGGAAGTGCCCGCCCGCTAGCAGAGCTGAAGGCGGCTGTGGGTCTCGGGGGGACCCTGTGGACGGGGAGGGGGTTACCGTTGAGCAGAGGCTGTCCTTCATGCAGGTCCGGGGCCAGCACGGCGCTGTACGCGGCCTCGGGGAAGCCCGTCTTGCAGGTGGCGGCCTCCCCAGCGGCTCCTGTGGCGGCCTGCAACACAGAGAGCGTGTCAGCCGTCCGCGCTGCACCCCAAACCCCGTCCCCTCATCCCCCAACACAGAGAGCGTGTCAGCCGTCCGCGCTGCACCCCAAACCCCGTCCCCTCATCCCCCAACACAGAGTGTGTCAGCTGTCCGCGCTGCACCCCAAACCCCATGTCCCCTCGTCCCCCAACACAGAGAGCGTGTCAGCCGTCCGCGCTGCACCCCAAACCCCATGTCCCCTCGTCCCCCAACACAGAGAGAGCGTGTCAGCCGTCCGCGCTGCACCCCAAACCCCCGACGGTCACCCCGGGGTGTGCAGGCTTCTTGATAACCGGCGTGGACAAAACCAGCCCCACTCCCCTTCCCAGTAACATGGAAACACACACATCCCGCCTCTCCTCCCCAGGACCTGCTCCTGGGGCTGCGGGACCAGCAGGGACCTGAGCGGAGGACAACCAGCAGCGTGGGGCCCCTCACCAGCATCCCCCTCACCAGCATCCCACTCCAGCATCCCCCTCACCATCCCCCTCACCATCCCCCACTCCACCATCCCCCACTCCAGCATCCCCCACTCCAGCATCCCCCACTCCACCATCCCCCACTCCACCATCCCCCACTCCACCATCCCCCACTCCACCATCCCCCACTCCACCATCCCCCACTCCAGCATCCCCCACTCCAGCATCTCCCTCACCAGCATCCCCCTCACCAGCACGGCTAACCTCACTTTTCAGGAGAAGTGTACACACGCAAGCACACGGCTTCTCATCCTCACACTCAGACCAGGTACATGTGTGTCACTGTTTACTCCGATAAAGAACGAAGCGGCGATAGGTACATTCACGGCGGGATACAGTGTATGTTATACCGAGGAAAAGCCCTACCCAAAGTGTGTGTGTGTGTGTGTGTGTGTGTGTGTGTGCGCGCGCTCCAAGGGGAGGGATACAGCCAGCATTGAGTGTTGACCGATGAACCACAAGGTCATGGTTCAATTCCAGGTCAGGGCACAGGCCCGGATTGTGGGCTGAACACTGATTGCATGCAGGAGGCAGCCAATCAATCATCACTGATGCTTCTCTCTCATTCTCCCTTCCTCTCTGAAGTAAAAATAACTTAAATATATATATATATATACACACACTCACACACACATATGTATACACATATACATATATACTCATACACACATACACACATGCATACATATATGTATGTGTGTATATACACATATATATACATATACATATATACATATATATACACATATATACATATATGTGTGAGTGTATATATATACATATATACACACATATATATACACATACACATAAATAAATAAATAAATAAATAAATAAATAAATAAATAAATAAATACAACTGTGTTTCCTTTTTAGACTTCGATCTGGAAAGTGAGTTCTGGCCAGCTCCCCGTCACCCACACTGGTCCCCACCCCGACAAGCTGGGTCTCGGTGAGACGGGGACAGCGCCAAGGCCCACAAGCCGTGTCTTATTTTGTAGCGGATGCTAAGAGGCGCAGGAAGGCGTGGTCGATGGTCACAGCACTCTGTGGGTTTCGATCCTCCACATGCACCTGGTCTGGCTTTGTTCACCGCAGCCTCTCTCTCTCAGGCGAGGGGGCCAGTGTTCGGACCGCAGGGCCAGGCTCACAGCCTCAGCCGTTGGCTCTCACGGTGCTGGGAGGCTCTGCCCCCAGGCTGGGACCTGCCCGTGGCCACGGGGACTGTGCCCTCTCCTCCTCGCTCCTCTGCCCTCCCGCCTCCACCGCCTCCACCGCCGCCCTCGCCTGCAGGCCCTGAGGCTGGAGGCTCTGTGCACAGCAAGGCTCCCATCTTCCAGGAGCTCAGGAGTTTGGGAGCAAGACTGCCAGCCGCCCCGCCCCTCAGGGCCACTCTGTGCTGGCAGAGGAGCCCCCAATGGCTAAGAACAGACCCCCCACATGTACCCAGCACCTGGGGGAATGAGTGGGCGCCTTCATCCCTCTACCTGCCGGCAGGGGGTGCTACCCCGGCCATGCCACTCCTGACCTCGGCGGAGCCCCCCCCAGCCCCTGGGATGGAACACCTGGGCCCACAGAGTCCAGCCCCTACCCCAGCCCTCACCTCTTTGCTGTGGACCAGCCTGCCACGGGGCGTGAACACCGTGAACTCGGGGGAGGAGCAGAGGCAGCCCCATGGGCAGTGCGGGGCGGTGGGGGCGGGTTCTGGGACCGGACACCTGTCAGCGCATTCTCCAAGCGCCTTTATCAGAGACAAAGACTGCACTGGAGACCCCCATCTGCTCGCCCTCTGTCTCATTTGTTCACCGCGGAGGCGGAGAAGCACTGTTTGTCAGGTCCCTTCAGAGACACCAGATCACCTTGCCAGGACTCAGCATTCCCGAACCCTTAAAGGCCAAAGCCTGGAGATCAAACAAGAAGCCACACAAACCCCGGTGCTGCCAGCGGCACCAGGGCCACAGGGATGGACTTGCCAGGTCTGAGGGCCACAGCCCGCGTCCTGGGCCGTGGGGAGCCGTGGCTGGCACAGGCCCAGGGCCTCTGGGCACCGGCTGGCCACACCCTGGGCCCCGGTGAGAGCAGCAAGACAGGGCGACTCACAGACCAGCAGGGACTCATTGTCCCCTCCTCTGCTCAGGCCCCACCCGGCGGGGCAGGCAGAGTCACCTGCTTCCCTGGTGGCCAGCCCACGGTCAGCAAACTCCTTCGTCAGCAGGGCCAACTGTCAACAGGACAACGACTGACATTTCTTTTGAGAGCCACAGTTTTTAAACTTAAACAAAAGATACATTGTTATTAACTTAATTAGGGTACTCCTCAGCTGGCCTTTGCTAAACGCTCAAGAGGCCAGAGAGCCGCATGTGGCTCGAGAGCCGCGGTGTGCCGACCACGGGCCTAGCCTGCGTGGGCCCCACCTGGGAGATGTCCCTCTCCGAAGGCCCAGGTTTGCTCCTTGACAGCGGGATCCCTCAGTCCTCGCTCCAAAGTCCAGTCCTCACATCTCCTGAGACAGGCCGATCTGGCCCCAGCGTCCTGCCCTCCCCACCTCCTGGGGAGCCAGTGGGGGGAGGGCTTGTGCCTGGCTCTGTCCAGCCCTCTGTACAATGGGGGGTGGGGGGGACGCTCCCCCCTGGGGCGGGGCAGGGGGGAAGGGGGCTGGGTGAGGATTAGCCCAGACAATGCCTGTGAAGGGCTGTCCCCACACTAAGCCCCAGGTAAACATGAGCATTCCTCACAGCAGCCCCTCCTCCCCCCAGGCTCCCCATCCGTCCCCGGAAACACCCCCCAAGCCCCGGCGGGAAAATGTCCCCAAAGGTAAGGTGACCAGACGTCCCACTTTTTAACAATTTATCCCCCGTCCCGTGGTGTATTTAAAAAAGTCCCGAAAACACCACAGGACACGGGACAGATGGTTAAAAAGTCGGGACTGTCCTCTTTACCCAAAGGGCATGGGAACAACCACCAGCGGGGCCTCAGGGAAGCGCCAGAGGCCACTCACAGGCAGGCCAGGCCAGCGCCCACCTCCATGCGGGGTGAGGGGCCGAGGGAGAAAGCAAAGATGTATGTGCTGTGTGAGGCCCCTGGACCCATGAGAAGCGCAAAACAATTCAGTCAGTAACTCCTTCTCAAAAGCCAAACTGCCCCCGGGGGCCTGTGCCCACGTGGGAGCCACTGGCTGGCGGGCGGTGGGCACGGGGCTCCGGAGACCTCCCGGCCCTGCACCAGCCTGTCTCCAGGAGGCTGGCGGTCCCGCCAACATGTCTTAGACACGCCCTGCCCAAGCTGGGGAAGCGTGTGCTGTATGTCCCCCTCGGCAGGCACAGTGCTTTGCGCTGGAGCGTGTGTCTGGGGTTGAGCTTCATGCATGCACAAGGCGGATCCCGCCTGCACGCCGTCTGCCTGCGTTTCCCTGAGCGGCACCCAGCCCGCTCCGCGGCCCAGCCCTCTGTGCCTGTGTGTGCCTGTGTGTGCGGTGCAGAGGGCTTTTCTCTGCGGGGTGAGTGAGTTCATACATGTGAAGGACTGAACACAGCACAGACCGCAGGAGGGGAGGGGAGAGAGACAGAAGCTGGTGTGACAAAGTGACACAGAGTGAGGGGGTCACCCCTGCCCCCCGGGAGGAGTCTGATGGGCAACCTTTCGGGGTCCAGGGTGATTCTCCAAGGAGCCAGCGGCCAGGGCAGCCTGCTCCATCTTCAGGACCATCTGACCCAGGGGCCCTGAGGGCTACCAAGGTCATAGGTGCCATCCAAATGCCACACCACCAGTGCCAGCACCTCCGCGCCTGACCCTGCACTCCCTGCCTCTCCGCCGCCCTCCCAGGGAAACCGGACAAGGATGAACCCTAAAAACCCACGGAGTTATCAGCCTGGACAAAGGAACCATTTCAGTTCAGAAAAATAGAGGTTAATCACTTATATTGATAAGTGATAGCCGCCCACATGTTCTTATGAATACATTAATCCGGGAGGGCCCTAACCGGTTTGGCTCAGTGGATAGAGCGTTGGCCTGCGGACTGAAAGGTCCCAGGTTCGATTCCGGTCAGGGGCATGTGCCTTGGTTGCGGGCACATCCCCGGTGGGGGGTGTGCAGGAGACAGCTGATGGATGTTTCTCTCTTGTAGATATTTCTAGCTCTCTATCCCACTCCCTTCCTCTCTATAAAAAAAAAAAATCAATAAAATATATATTTTTAAAAAATAATAATAAAATTAGGAAGGGGTGTAAATAAAGCAAGACCTACTACTTCATAACACACACACAAGTCAATTCCACACAAGGGACACCACTCAATGTGAAAATATGAACAGATAAACACAATGTGATATTTACAACTTGGCTCACCTACCACAAACAGTCTTCCAGAAACGATACATAAATGTGTGTGTGTACAGATATATGTGTGTGTATACATATATGTATAAAGACGTGTTCATCTTAATCACGAAGAACCAAGACTCGGGGAAAATAAGGATTCAGAATCCTGACAA